TTCTCCACAGAAGCGGCGACCTCCTTCGCCGTTGTTACGCCTCGTCTATGCGACTCCTCATCATCCGGCTGGGTCTTCTGCCTACCCGGTGCGCGCCCCCTCCCTCTGCGCATCCATTTCTCCGGCCCTCTCTTACGGTTGCCTACCTTACTGCAGGACTCGCCCCTTGCCTGTCCGGTGCCGGGTAGGCTTTCCTTGCCTCCCCCGGCCCTCCTTGGGGCGCCCCTCTCTGGCTCGTCAACTACCTTACTTCCGTCCTTCCCTGGCCCTCGGGGGCCCAACCCCTCCGCCCTTTCTGTGGGCCCGATGCCCGCTCTGGACTTGTCTCACGCCCCCGGCCTCTCTGATGCTGCCCCCCCGGTAGGCTTGCTCCTGCGCCTGGGTCCTGTCTCTTCTTTCCGTCGCGCTTACCTCTCCTACCTTCTTCTGCCCTCCAGGCACTGCCGGAGCCTACTCTGCCCCAAATCTTGGCCGCGCGCGTCCGCCCCACTTCCATACCCTCTGCCGTACTGGACCCACCTTCCAGCCGTCAGCTTTATACCGTCGCCCTCGCGAAGGCCGCCACCGTCTGCGACAGCTCGTTGGCTCGCGAAACCATTGCCCGCCAGGAGGCTGCTGGCCGTGACCTCTCTGCCTGGCTGGCCTCCCTGCCCCATGGCCGTACCCTGCTAACCTGCACTGATGACGACCTACTCGTCTACCTGGAGGCGCACTGGCTCCCCAACCGCCGTGTGGACGACCCGAGCCCCAACACCGTCAACAATCATCTGGGTCTACTCTCCGGGCTGTTTAACCGCTTGGGCCGTGGCAGCACTTACGACCGTGAAACCGGCATAGGCAACCCCTGCTGCTCCAGCGCCTTGTCCTCCTACAAGACTGGCTATAGTCATCTCGCCGCCGACCGTGGCTATGAGGAGCAAGCCGCCGTACCACTCAGCCCTAGCGACTTCACCACCCTCATGGACCACCTCTGGTCCGGATTCCAGGCTTCCACCACCTCCCTGACCCGGCTGCTGCTACTACGCGACCTGTTGTGCTGCCAATTCATGTGGCACACCAGCTACCGCGGCCACGACACCGGCAAACTGCGGCTACGTGACTTCCGTGACCCGCGTGGTGGGGGTCCCTTCCGTGGGTTTCCCCTACCTCTGCCGGACCCGTTTGGTGCCTACCCCTCACTTTCCTTACGGATCGAACAACTCGGGACCAAAACATCCAAGGGGCGTCGAGCCCCCCACTTGGAACTGCGTCCCGACCCTTCTCCGCGACATTGCTTCATCCGCACCCTCGCCCTCTATTGGCAGCTGTGCCATGCCCCCGACGCCCCCCCAGGGTCTGCAATTTCCGACTACCTCTTCCGTCCCACTGACCGGGGTCACCAACGCTTCGTGGAGCGTCCATTTTCCAGCAGCGCGTTAGCCATGCGAGTGGGCAAACACCTGGAGGAGGCTGGTGTCTACGTCGGGCAAACTCCTCATGGGTTTCGTCGTGGTACTATCCAGGCCACGCAGGCCGCTGGCGCATCCCGCGCGGAGCTCCACGCGTTCTCCCAGATACGCAGCGCTCAAG